CACATGGAAAATCATTGCAGTAGCATTCCAGCACGAAAGAGTGCATCACAATGAGGCAGTCAGGGAAGGCTTCTCAGAGCCTTGAAGGATGGGCAGAATTTAAATAGATGGAGACAGTGAGAGCATGCTCTCCCCTACCGAAACCCTTCAGGAACCCCCACTGTCTTCAAGAGAGTTAAATCCTAATTCCTTGCCTGCCTTACAGCCTCTCCAGCGTCATTCCTACCCCCAGCCTTCCCAGATTCCTTACAGTTCCTGGAGCCTCTGTGTTCTTTCACACTCCTGGACCGTGCATTCTGTCCTCTCCACCTGGTCTACTGGACAAGCCCCCATTCAGCCTTTAGGAGTCAGCTCAAATATAACATGTTCCATGGAACTTTTCCTCAAGTGGTTAGCTGCCCCCTCCTCTGTGTTCCCACAGCCCCTGGTCTGTGCATCTCTGGTTCATAAGGTATATTAAGTGTCTCTTCATCACTTGGCTATAAGCTTCTTAAGAACTGAGACTACCTGATGGGCAGAGGATTCATGCAGGGGGTACGGTGGGCAGTGAGGAAGAAAAGATAATTGGTGGTGAGCATGCAGGGAAGTGGGAGAGGGCAAAGCCTCTGAAGCTCAGTCTAAAAGTCTGCGCCCAGATAAATGTGTCCTGCAGGCAGTGTGGTGCCACAAAGTCTCCAGAGGAAGAGAAGTGCAGGGGCATGACGAAAGGCTAACTGTGGATGATGTGAAGGGTGCTCAGAGACAAAACCAGCGAGATCTGTTAGGAAACCTTTGCACCAGTGCAGGTATGCGGTGCAGAGTCATAATTGGTGTGAAGAACAGAAGACTGGAAGAAACCAAAGAAGAATTTGAGGATTTGAAAGTCTGGGCATCTAGGGGAACACGCCACAGCTTTGTCAAACTCTAATATGCAAATAATCACCCGGGACCTTGTTAAAACGCAGGTTCTGACTCATTAGGCCTGTGGTGGGGCCTGAGATGCTACATTTCTAACCAGCTTCCAGGTGCTGCCAGGCTGTGGTCCACAGACCGCCCTGTGAGCACTTTGAGTGATTTAGAAGCAGAGCCAGGTGCACACAGGGCTCCAGGAGCACAATGGTGAGGAGCAGATGGTGTCTTTGGGTGAAGACAGGTGCCCCTTCCCCAGGTGAGCACAGCAGGGCGCCCGGCTTCCTGAGCAGCTGGCGTTCCAGCCCTCACTTACCCCTCGAGTAACCAACAGCCTGCAAAACCCTTTGTGGCAGCCCTGGTGGAACCACTAACAGAGGGGTTGGAGGCGGGAAGCCCACTTGGAGAGAGGGCGATGACAGCCTGTCATAATTGGGTTCGAGGTGCCAGTGTGGGCATCTGAGGGACAAGTCTGTCCACTAAGCAGTTGGAGACACAGCTGGAGCTGCAGATTTGGGACCTCTAGGCCTGTTGATGATAGAGCCCATGGTGAGAGAGCAGGGTGAGGTGAGGTGGAGCTCAGGGATTAATCTAACCCTTGGGGCCTTTTTCAGGCTAACACTCTTCTAACAACATCTCCCTCCCTTTCATTGTCTTGCAGGTCACCGTTCCCTTTATGAACGTAAGTGCTCACGGTCTTTCTGTCCTCAAGATGCCAAGTCTCCTCACACGTTCCTGCTCCGTTGACACAGCCCACCTTGGTCCCTGTGTGCCTCGGGGGTCGGGAATCCCCGTTCAGTGGCCTGAAAGGGGAGTCGGCCCTCAGACAGCCTCATGTCCGGAGCGCGCCTCCACCTGTTAGCCCCCATTAGCAGGACCCGTCTGGCCAGCCTTGCCCCAACCTTCCAGGGGCCAGAATGTGCCTGCCGGCTCCCTCTGAGCTCGCCTTGCCCTTGTTTTCCCCAAGAATTGGAAAGAGAGGAGATACGCCCCTCAAATGAGTTGGAGCCAGGGTGGAACTTCTGAGGTTCAGACCCTGTCCCCTCCACCTGGGTCAAGGGCTTGGGGACCATCAGCACTTGTGCCCCAGAGGGCAGTGGTTAAGAGCATGGCCACCGGGGTGAACCAGGCTGGGTGGACTCTCAGCCACATCAGTCAAAGCCCCAGTTCATCGTGAGTGAAATAAGGATAAACAAGAACTATCTCAAAAGGTTATTTTTTTTTCAAAAGGTTATTTTGAGGGTTAACTGAGATAACCAGGGGAGTGCTTAACACAGTGCCTCACACAGACTAAGGCCTCAGTGAACAGAAGTTATTATTCTCTGTGTCTCGGCCCTGTGGGGTAGGGGTAGGGGTGAGGGTTAAGCCTGACGTGAACAGAGGGGAGAGGGGAAGGAGAAGAGAATTAAAGCAGAAAGACAGCAAGAACCTTTGAAACTGGATGGAAACAGGGAGCAGAATCACACCTTCAGTTAGCTCTGTGCCGCCTCTCTTCCCTTCCACAGCTATAAGCTCCCCAGGTTAGGCTGGCCCAGGCCACAGCTACCCTCTGTCTTCAGGAAGCCCCTGGTGTTCCAGTGCCCAGGGCCCTCCCTGCTCTCAGGTCCCCCATGCCTTCAGCTGAGAAAGTTCCAGGAGGGTTCCCGGCCCCATGCCCAGGAGGGCAGCTGCCCCTCACCTCTCCACACACGTCTTTGCAGAGTTTGATGGGGCGTCGGGCGGATGACAGCGGGAACGGTTGTGATCACTGGCGGAATCCTAGCCACGGTCATTCTCCTCTGCATCATCGCCGTCCTGTGCTACTGTAGGCTCCAGGTCAGTCCCCTGGGCCTGTGGCCAGAGGCCACGAGCAAACCACGTCCCCATCATGGGGGCAGAACCTGGAGGCCCACTGCGGGCGTGACAAAGCCCAAAGCCGTGGAATGTGGGAGGCGTAAGTGAAGGGGGCTGGGAGTTGGGGGGCTGTCAGAAGGGAGCTATGTTCCCCTCACGCCCTGCACACTTCGGGCACCCAAGAGAGTGAGCTGGGAAAATACCGGGTCACTGTGTTGTGTCTCCCGCGCGTCTGAGATTTCTGGAGTGCTGGGAAGGGCACCGTGTGGGGAGACTCTGAAAGCAGCTCCCCGCACCCCAGCCTGTGCTTAGTAGGATCTGTATGTCCCTCCCTCGTTGCCTCCCCGCTCTCTCAGCCTCCGCCTGCAGTCAATGCACTAGGAAGTAGGGGGAGGAAGAGGGAAGGAACTGGTCTTGCAGGGCTGGGAGGACATCGCTGTGGACCGTGGGCCTCTGGTGTTGAGTTTTCTCTCTGGGGCCAACCAAGCGCCCGGTGCGGGGTCCTCAGCGGAGCAGGGCCGTGGGCACCTGTGCGCACCCAGAGGGGGGCATTCAGCCCTCAGGCAGCCCTCCCCACTCTCCCCTCAGTATTACTGCTGCAAGAGGAGCAGAGCCGAGGATGCACGCGAGGAGGAGGAGGAGGATCACGACCTGCCCGCACACCGCAGAGGCCCCACCTGCAATGCCTGCAGCTCCCAGGCCCTGGACGGCCGAGGCGGCCTGGCGCCTCCCACCAGCGAGCCCTGCGGCCAGCCATGCGGGGTGGCGGCCAGCCACTGCACTGCCTGCTCCCTATACAGCTCTCCCTTTTACATACGGACGACTGACATGCTGCCCAACGGGGGCGGAGGCGAGAGGCTCTCCTTTGCTCCCACATACTACAAGGAGGGGGGACCCCCATCCCTCCAACTGGCAGCGCCCCAGAGTTACCCGGTGACATGGCCAGGCTCTGGCCGTGAGGCCTTCACCAATCCAAGGGCTATTAGTACAGACGTGTAACCCCTTCCACCCCCGCCATGCACCAACGCTGCTGCCCCAGCAGGAGCAATGGGGACAGCGGACGACACCCCCCAGCACGGCCCACAAGGACAGTCTCAGTTTTCCTGGCTTTCCTTTTCCCACAGTGGAGGGCTCACCCGGATTCAGGCTATTAAGGGCATTAAGAACCAGGGCAGGGCCTGGCCCCACGGTCCACAGGTGGCGGCCTGACAGGTCGTGTTGGCAACTTAGACAGTTTCTCTGTTGGGACTGTCCTCTGGCCAGTGCCAGCACTGCCACCACCCTCTCACTTCCCTCAGTCCCCTGGCTTTGCCGGACCAGGGGAAAGCTGAGCAAAGGCTCTGGAGGTCTCCGGAGTCCTTGGGGGATGAAAGGAGAAAGGGGTGGGGGGTGTAGTGCAAAGGGAGAGGCCAGAGCTGAGGCATTGGCAGAACTCGAGAAGGGAGAGGAAGGGGTTAAAGGGACTCTTCAGGACTTGCTTTGCTGAAATGAATCCAAGAGCTAGTTCACAATCTAGGTTTGTACGGCACCTGTTCTAGAGACGGCACTCCCTGTAGCTGTTCCAACACGGATATTGCTTCCTGAACACATCACATCTGCATCTGCCTCTGTCTTCACAGAACACGTCGACTGGACTTTAAAGGCTGTGGCATAAGGTTATTTGTGAGGAATGCACCCAAAATGGATGTCTAGCCTTGTCTCCCCACAAATCCTCTTTCTCTGCCTCAGGAACCAGCTTCCCTGGCTGGAGAACCTTTTACAAGTTTTGTTACTAGAGTTAGAGTAGCTTAGCAAAGGAAAGCCTGCTGATGGTCTCTGGGGCCCTGGTCCGCCACGCTGAGCACTGTGCGTGGATGCAGCCCTGCGAGGACGTGTGCATTCCCAGGTGTGTGCACACGGGCCTGTCACCAACAGTGTACACCAGGACTTTGCCACCTGCAGGAGCTGCAGGGCAGAAGGGTCTCTGATGTACCAACTAGAAAGAAAAATCTGACTCCAGACAGCAGGAGCGAAAGGTGATCAAGGTGGCGGCCAATCCCCACAGCAGCCAGCTGGCTGGTACAGGAAGAGCCTGCGGAGTCTCCCCTGGGATAATGCTGCTGCGTGGAAGCCACGGAAGCCCCTCCAGAGACATGGTGTTCTTCCTGGGCATCCAGCCATGAGGCCACAGAGCAGGACCCCTTCGTTTCACCACAGATGGCAGCCCTCGCTCTGAGGATGGGAGGGATTTGACTTAGCAATCAGATTCCATGCTGGCTGCCCTCCCTCCGCTGACCCACCCCCCCCCTCCCCGTCACAGGACAGGGGCCTGTTTATTGCTGTGTCACTCTAGCCCCAGTCCAACTCCCAGTTATAACTCAGCTGTGGCCTTATGCTGCTTGAGTGAATGCATCTGATGAGTTTCCCAGTTGCCTCTGCAGTAAGGGGTGGCTGTTCCCCCACCTCCTAAGGGCATTAGTAACCCCCAGACTCTCTTGCGTCACTGAATGCTGCAGAGCGTGGGGCAGGGAGGGAGCTGGCCCCTCTGCTGAAATCTTGATTTTTGCATTTGCGACAGGGAGGGTGAAGCTGGGGAAGGGGAAGAGAATTCGCCGCAACTTTTGCATCACTCTGGGCACTTGTCACCTTGCATCTCAGTCTGTAATCGAGGATCACAGGGTTGAGAATCAGAGGAGCTCTAGGACCAGTCTCTTATCTCCTCTGAGATTCCATTTTCTCCAGGGAAATGAGACTTGCGCAGGTGGACTCTGAGGACCCTTTAATGCTCCATGAAGCCAGCACTCCCTGAAAAGTTCTGCCAGCCAGACCACTCTTTCTTGCCACAGTCCTGGCAGGGGCTGGATGCACTTGTCAACTGCCTGATCCTGTGTGCAGGGATGTGTGTTAATGGATGAAAGACCACAGTAAAACACAGGGTTCGCAGGCAAAACCATTTTAATCGTCAGTGGAAAGCAGACATGTTTGACCGTCCTACTGAGTGACCTCAAATGATAACATTTCTCTGCTACCAGGAGACAGCTCTAGGTGGGGTAATGAGCTCTGTTTCAGAGCCTGGAGGGACCAGCTGAGGATGGCAGCTTTTCATGCCCATCCCACTGCCAGCCCTTACTGGGCTAAGCACGCCCCCTTGACACAAGCTGCTGGGCCTGGGTGTCCTCGCCGCTTCCTGATGACCAGCCCCAGTGCCTTGCTTGCCGCCCTGGGATTCCACGGTCACACAACCACAGCAGGGGCTGCCCCTCCTCACCCAGAAGTTCCACTACCGCCCACCTTCGGAGAAATCAAGACCCAGTCAACTCTCACCTGCTTCTTGGCCCTGATCTGTTGGGGTCCCTGAGTGAAAAGCGTCTCGTGCAATCCCGTCTCCTAGAGCTTTCCCAGCCTAAATCAACCCACGTATCAAAATCTGAGTTTGGGGCATTGGAGAGATGGTGGCCGCGGCCCTCGCCACACAGACGCACGTTGCTCAGGGCACAGGCTCAAGGTTGCCTGCCCGCCTCCCTGCAGCCACGAGGGCCTTGCCTGTGGAAGAGGAAGCTCACCCCACTCAACCACACTGTACTTTTTAGCTGCCGAGTCTGTGCTCTGGGACACTATGTGGACACTTTTCACACTGCACCCTAAACAGGCAGAGGAGAGGCAGGGGACACCCTGCTCTCTCCGCCTTTTCGCTCCACCCCCACTTCACTGCTCCTGCTACAGATTTCTTGCCCTGCATCTTTGATAACTTGGAGTCACAGCTAAGTGAATGTCAAAATAAAGGAGGAATTGGACATAGAAATCCCACAGGGTCCTCCGTTCTTTACCTGGGGAAGGGGAAGCTGGGCATGGATTTAAGAGTGAAAGCCCCTTCTCATCGCCCAGAATGTCCTTTTTCAACACTGAGACCTACCAGCTTCCTCTCCCTTCCTGCCTCCCTCTGCCATGTCCACCCCGACACCGTGTCCTCTACCCGAACCCCCCATCCCTTTCCTTGCCTCAGTTGGAGCTCTCATCCAGGAAGGATGTGTCATTTGTTGGGAAAGGGGATTGAACGGTAGCCACTGCTCTCCCTGAGGTGGAAGGAGCTCAGTCAGTGATGCGGAGCCCTGGGGAGCAACCTGCCTCCACTCCACCCTCACTGTCCAGGCCCCTGGGGTCCTACCTGTAACTCGGGCCAAGGTCCCCGCTCTAAATTGGAGGAGGCCTCTGAGTGTCTCAGGGTGCCCAGCACACAGCACCGTCCAGCCCCTCGTCGCCCAGCCACAGCAGGTGTTGTGCTGAGCACCACAGGAATCAGGGAAGGAAGAGCTGCTGGGTCACAAAGCCTCCTCTTTCCCTGTGACCTAACATCCCAGCAATCTAGTCCTGGTGGTCAGAGGGTGGAGTTTTGTGTTAGACTTCACTTTGCACTCTGGTTCCGCCACTTACCGTGTGACTTTAGGGAACTTTTTGGACCTCTCTGTGTCTCAGTTTCCTCATCTGAACAATTGGGCTCACGACGCCTACCTTATTCCATTGCTGTGAAAATTACGTGAGCCTGGCGCACACGGTAACCATTGTCGTTAGTAGGATTTGGTGGGGACTCAAGTCTGAGCTGTAGAGGCAGCTGGGATTGCTCAGGCATCAGGGTGGAAGCCTGCTCGGGGCTCTTTTTCATCTCTCCCCCAAGCCTTCCAGAAGCTCTCTTCCCGCGCCACTTCTCGCTGCCAGTTCCAGACGCTGCCAGGACCACCTCTCTGCCCATTACTGCCTGTCCCTTCATTTGGAAACTCCCTCATAACTGCTTGTGACTCTTTGAGAGACCAAGGGTCCTATCAACCTAGGACTGAATTTTGGCCTCACATTTGCCCCAGTAAATTGTACGAACGAGAGAGAGTATTCATACGTACAACAGCTCAGCTCTCAGCTTGGCGCTGTGCATATTTCACTGGTTTCCAAGTTCAAGGCTTGGGTTTGAAAGTCAGGTCAGAAGGGGTCCAGGGGACATCCAGCTCCTCCTCTTGAGCCTGGACTCCCCAGATTGTCCATCCCTGGCCCTGCTGAGCCTCACTCAGAACTTGCTAGACATTCTGGCTGCTCTGCTCCCAGGTATTAGTGGGGAGGTGAGAGCAGGAGAAAGAGCAGGGGGGAGGGAGTCCCAGTGTCTGGCTGGGAGGGATGGGAATGTGCTTCTGTAGGACACCATCTGCATCTTCACAGAGTTAGGAAGCCAGAGGAGAACTGGACCTGCCACATCCCCATTGCCTCTCCCAGTGCTGGCGCTATGGGACCCACCTTCACTCGGCCCTGAATCCCCCCCCCGCCCACCACCTGGATCCATAGAGAACAAAGAGAAATGACGGCTGAGCGCTACACCCTAACCCACAGGCCACAGGGGACTCCATTTCCCTGGCTAACCACTGTATCATCACTTCCATCCCTCCTGTCTGCGGGTGTAAACTTCCTAAGAAATAAAATCAAAGTCCTCTTTCTCTATTCAGTTTACAAAAGGCCAAGCTGACTCTGCAACCCTGCTGTGTTGCTATTCGTCTGTTTTTGTCACAATACTTAAAGTGTGACTTTAGGCAAGTTTTCTATATAGTTCTAAGTTATTTGGGGAAATGTATCCACAGACTTGTTTCCACTTCAAGATGGGCTAAGGCAGCTGGTGCTAGGAAACTGAGATCTGGGAAATAAGACTGGGGCCTAATTCTGCTAGTTCTGTCAAGAGGATCCAACCATTCCCATGGCCCCCTCCACAGGCACCCTGAGAGAGGGACGGCCAGCCGGAACCAGACAGCCACCAAGCATCACCCACCGACCTCCTGCCCTGTCTGCCTTCATATCCCTTGTCTGTGTCTTGCTGTGGGCAGGAAAGGGCTTCATCGGGCCAGATCATACTGCCTCTGCCTTTCCTCCTTTCCCCTTTGCTTAAGGGGTTTACAGGGTACTTTTTAGATGGGAGGAAAGAGAACCTGTAAGTATAATGTTGACACTTTGATCATGAGTTTTGATCTGGATCTAACTACACAACTCAA